TTGGAAACTCATTTTGCTCAGTCTATGGTCCCTGGTCCCTGGTACATTGATGCTGTTGCTGTTGCTTTTGGCTTTGCTTGGCTTTTGGCGTAATTTCGTTGTCATTAAGTTGGCATTATAACAAAATGCCTTTTCAATCACTTTTGACTAAATGCACTGTCTGCGAGAGGGAAGGAAGGGGGAAGCCCGAGAATGAGAGCTCTCCGCCGCCAGCTGCCTTTCATTCGTTCATTCATCCAACATTCACTCCCGGCTCAAGGACGCGCTCCACCAAGTGTCGGCAATTTTTCGACAGGGATAAGTAAGCATAACAATGCCGGCTAGCAGGAGCAGAATCAGAAACAGAAGCAGGACCAAAACGAGGACCAGGATCCGGGGAAACCGCAAAGTTAAAAAAAAAAAGTAAACGAAAAAAGTCCAGCTAGACACTGGGAGAAAATAATATATTCTGGATTGGATAATGTTTTGAAATTATTTTTAGGGATTTTTATTATTTAATTAATAGCTTTTTCAAGGATTAAAACATTATTTTAAATGATGAAAAATTCTTTTTCCAAAGATCTTTTAGATAATTACTGTCTTACAAAAACATTACTTCAATTTATATTCAAATATTAGAAAAGGAATTCGTAAAATTAAATTAAATTAAAATATTCAAAAATTTTATAATTTGATGATAATTATATCGATATTCCTTTAAGTCTGTTGCCAGGACAATTTACGATTATAATTTCCCCGAGTGTTCTTTACTTTATTTTAAAGAAGCCAGGACGGGATGAGGTGGACGTGGAGGTCGAAACGCAGTAAATTTCAAGCGTTTCATCAATGTCACTGCAAAAGGACTCCTCGTCCTGGTGGCCCACGCATATCCTTTTGTATTTAAAATGTTTGCCTGCCTTCGCCTGATGAACACGGAGCAGAGCCAAAAGTTTCTTCTCCTCTTTTTTATTTTTGGTTTTTTTTTGCTCTCGCAACAATTTCATTATCTGCGGAGAAATGGAGAAATGGCAGCGAGGGAAAGTGGGGGAAAGTGAGTGATAGGGCAGTTGTTGTGTGACAGGCGACACGCCGCAGCAAGTGGCAAAGGACTCGCTCGTCCCCGTCCCGTTCTCTTCCTTTTCGAGGGCTGCAAGGACCGAGCAAATTTTTATGGCAAAAACTTTTTCATAGCATTTTTCAGAGCATACATTAAGGCGCTGATTCATGTGTGCACAGTAAGGACTGGCTAAATTGGCCATGGTTAGAAATGACTTCTCAAACTTTTCAAAAATCAAAATAATTCAAAAGTAAAAGTTCTATATTTATGAGAATTTATTTAATGAGGCCTAATGATGTAAGAAATGTGCCATGTAATGGGTTTAGTATTTGTTTATTAAATGTAAAAATTTATTTGCCGTATTGATTTATCATGAATTGATACATAAATTAAGAGAGAGTTCCCAGAGGGGCTTTACTAAAAAAAATAATTATGTATGGCCTTTCTACATTAATTTTTCATTAAAGTTATATAATTAATTTGTATAGTTCAAATTACGCAATATAAATTTAATTAAGACAAATATTTAATTACCAGCTCAACACCTAATTAGCAAAGTTTATAATATAAGCTGGTGTTATTCGTTTGTTTATAAGCTAAACATTAATTATAGATGCTTCAGAGGGTCTTTATATTTATTTCTAGCTTACTGTATTCATTGGGGCAACGACCAAAAAGTGGGCGTGGCTGCAGCGATAATGCGGCGTTAATACGGAGCAGAAAGAAAAACAGGAGTTGGGAAAAGAAAAGCATCCTGCGGCGCATTTGCATAGGCTTAATTTAAATTCCCTTAAACAGCAGCCCGATATGTCCGCGCCTAGGAGTGTGTGTGTGTGTGTGTGTGTGGATAGGCCCAAAAAGGACAATGATCGTTGGACCTTTTTTCCACCGAAAAAAGGAAAACGAAAACTTGGCCAGAATGAAACCGAAGAAACAGACCGAAAGAAACGTGGAAAATCAGAGAAAAACAAGGCGAAAAGGTTGCACCCCTTAAGTTTGGCCAAATAACTGCAGGCGAACGCTGGGAAACTCATACACACATACAGATACGCTCAAGGAAGGATATTCCAGGGAATAAGCACGGGACACTGGAGACCTTTGAGCAGCGACATAACAAAATCAAAAGGATTTTGCGTATAAGTTGCAAATTAAGTTGCCCTCGTCCTTGCTGTTGTTGCCACTTCCACATCCACTTTCATTTTTACATTCACATCCACGCCCAGTTTCCCATTTGTCCGTGTCCTTGTTTCGCTTACCCCCCCGCTCTTTGGGCTTCCCTCCCGTTTTTCGGGTTGTTCCGTTGCGTTTCCAACTTCATCATCTTATGTGCTTATGATATCCCTTTGGCCCTGCGGCCAAAGAACAACAACCAGGAACAACAATAACAAGAAGTGAAACATGTCCTTGGCCTCGGCACACGCTTCCTATTTGGGTTAAACTTGTCAGCGATTGTGGCATGGGTTAAGGATTGGGTGCTGAGGCTTTAAATTAACAGATGGATATCTGGAGGGAGTTTTTGAAGGGCAAGACGCGTGCAAAGATCCTTTTTCAGTCATCAGTTTAAAATTAAATAAATCGTATTTTATATTTTATATTCTAAATATTTAGCTACCTTTGATTTCTACCCTGATTTCCCATGAAAATAATTATAAATTTTTAATTATTATAAAAATATTGATGTGAATCATCTTAAAAAAGTCCATGCTTACCTTGCTTATTGAATAGGAAACGTCTTCGATTAGCCATGTAAATAAAACGCTTTCATCGGAATTGGTGCGTAAAAAATCAGTAATGCGATTATATTCAGTGTAAATACATTCAACAATTTTGAGCTTATAAATTATATCCAAAATACAGTCAAGGATATCCTTATAAATACACCTAAAAACTGAATTTCACGAAAAAATATTTTTAAAACACTATTCCTAGCTTTAAATTATAATAAATGAAATTTTTATTTAAATATTTTTCCACAAAAATTTAATTCAATATGCACTTAATATTGAGAGCTAAAAATCCCGCTTCTAAGCTCAGTAAATATGAAGATAATATCTGGTATATGTGAGGCTTATCTAACCATTCAGATATTCTGCGGCCGTTAGCCTCTGCCCCCCAAAAAAAAAAGAGAAATCCTTTAATTGAGTGCACACTTAGGCCAGTATTCAGCAGACGGGAAAAGGAAAAGAAAAAATAAAGGGGAAAGGACTCACGAGCACATGGGTAACGGGTCCTTGCCGCCTGACTGCTGCCTTTTTATGCGCTTTTAGCGCCATTATCCTTTTACGATTATCGCCGCTAAAGCGAATTGACTGTTTGACGTTCAATTGAAATTTTGCATTAAAGCTCAATGGCTTAACCCCTTCAAATTATGCAATACGTTCCCGGGACCCCTTCGTCCGCACATCCTTCGTCCTTAAAGTCCCCCGAACCCATCCTAAAATCCTGTGAAACTCCGCCATCAGCAACGCAATCCCAGACTGAGCCCAAGCAGCTTTCAGCTCGCAGTTCGCAAATAGCAAATGGATCGGGGACTTGCAGGGGGCCTGCAAAAGGGTGGCAAGGATGTGGCAAGGATATGGGGGAGCAAGGATACTCGGCTGCTCACAGATCCAAAGCGATGCCAACGGAACAGAACGGAACGGAACGGAGCGAGCATCGAATGGCAGCCAATTAGCGCGCATTGCTCATACGCCGCGTTTGTCATGGCAGCCAGACGCCCACACACACTCCCACACATGCTCACTGACAGACACATATACATGCTTACAGGCCCTGACACACATATGCAAGAGTTGTAAGTACACCTTAAAAAAATATATATTATTTTTCTTAAAAATCATGAGAAATAATCTCATAAATAATTACAGAAAAAATATTTTTTCAGTTTTAATAAACTTTTGGCTTGTTTATTTTAGTATACAGATCGAGACACATTTACTGACAAAAACAGTTCAATATGAAATCCACAGATATATACTTTATTACTTGTGTTACATAAGCCTTAAAATATCTTTAAAGCTCACCTTTTGTACAGTGTGTGCCCCTCGCATAGCGGAAACGGAAGTTGTAAGGGGATTTTCAATTTGCAATTGAACTGATTCTGATTTTTTGGCTTGCTTCTTTTGCTCGGCGCTCATTTTATGGCTGACTTGGTACGCCATAGTGGGCGGGGTGTGGCGGGGTGCGGAAATGTAATCATCGCAATCCGCAGATGGGGCTGAGGATGGGGTTGGGGCCCTGGAAATGCGGAGGCGACTCTACATATATACTTACATTTAATTTCCACTAATTGAATCGAAATCGATCTCTCGCTCCCTTGCTGCGGAAAAGCGGAAAAAGCTTTCCACCGGGCCTTGACGTTTGCCTTTCGATTGCGGCTGGCGGCTGGTGAGGTGCGAGCCGGAAAATTTGAGCTGCAGTGCTGCTGGATTTTCGGGTTTCCGGGCGGGCGTTGGCGTTGGCTTTGGCATTAATAAACTTTTCCTATAAATCAAAGAAATTATAATTATTTTTTACCCTTTTTGCTTTTGGCAAAGGGATTAAGTGCTCAGAGGGAATCCGCAGGAAAATCGTGAGCGGGTCTGAAGAAATTGCACCACGAAGGCTTCTAATGAGCAAAACGCGTCAGAGGGTAAATGACTTTTCTGCGATTAGGAAAATTATCGCAATAAGTTGGTGATTCGGAGCAGGAGAGGGGATATAATCGCGCGATAATCGCAGTCACTGATTTGATTTTGTGGGGGAAAATAAGGCAGCGTGGCAGCAAGGCAGCGATAGTGGAAAATACTACGCAGGGAAATGTAAATATAATTTAGATTAAATGATATGACTCAGCGCAGCGAGGTGAAGTGGCCTCTTAATTTTGTTGATGATAAAATCTCATCGATTTTGCAAAACAAATATAGTTTTCCGGTTGCTAATAAGTCAGCGCTTAGGTATTTTTAGTTGTTCTTTTTTCATAAGATTTCAGACAGGATAAAATATTTATTTATATTATTGGTTTTCCATTAAATTATGTGATTCTACCTTTAAATATTTAAAATTCAAATAAACTTAAAATTTCATTAACTTAAAATTTGTCACTCTACAAGTAATTTGGAAATATTTTCCCAAATATACGTCTAGTAAGAGGCGGCATTATCCTCTATTTCCCGGAAGGTGGTCAAAATTTTCTGGTGAAGCTTCTCCATGTGTTCGTCCATGGCCACTTGACCCATCTTGTGATCTTGGAACTTCATCATGGACAGCTCGTAGAGGACGTTGGCGGCCTGCGTCCGTATCAGGCCCCAGGTGACCCGGGCCTCATCCCCGGCCGTGTTCTCCACCGCCCGGTTAGCCGCATCGTAGAAGGCCATCATGTTTCTGAGCATGCCCACCGTCTTGTAGAAGGGACAGTAGGCATCGTAGGTCGAGTAGGAGTTCTGCTGCAGGAAGTCATCCTTCAGCATCTTGGCCACCTCGAGCGTGATCTTATCGGTTTCATTCAGGGACGACTTGCCCACCAGCTGGACGATCTCGGCCAGGTCATCCTCCTCCTGCAACACCTGCTTAGCCTTAGCCCGCAGCAAGGTGAACTCTGGATTGATCTCCTCGTAGTAAGCGTCCAGGATCCGCATGTACTTGGAGTACGACTGCAGCCAGTTTACCGAAGGGAAGTGCTTCCGCTGGGCCAGCTTCTTGTCCAGACCCCAGAACACCTGGACGATGCTTAACGTGGCGGAGGTCACCGGATCGGAGAAGTCACCGCCGGGCGGCGACACTGCGCCAACAATGGACACGGATCCATATCGTTCCGGACTGCCCAGGCACTTGACCAAGCCGGCTCTCTCGTAGAAGGAGGCCAGTCGGGCGCCCAAGTAAGCTGGATAGCCAGCGTCTGCCGGCATCTCGGCCAGGCGACCGGAGATCTCGCGCAGCGCCTCCGCCCATCGTGAGGTGGAGTCGGCCATCATGGAAACGTGGTAGCCCATGTCGCGGAAATACTCCGACAGGGTAATCCCCGTGTAAATGGAGGCCTCACGGGCAGCCACCGGCATGTTGGAAGTGTTGGCCACCAGGGCGGTGCGCTTCATAATGGACTCCATGGTCCCATTCACTTCCGCCTCCAGCTGGGGGAAGTCACGCAGTACCTCGGACATCTCGTTGCCACGCTCGCCGCAACCGACGTAGATGATGACATCCGAGTTGGAGTACTTGGAGAGGGACTGTGAGATCACGGTCTTGCCACATCCAAAGGCCCCCGGAATGGCAGTAGTGCCGCCCTGGACGCACGGAAAGAAGGCATCCAGGACTCGCTGACCGGTGAGGAGAGGAGCGTAGCTGGGCAGTTTGTCATCCGAGGGACGACACTTGCGCACCGGCCACACCTGGAGCATGGTGTGCTCCGTTACCTCGTCGTTGTACTCAGTCTCAATCATCTTTTCATCCACGCTGTAGTTACCCGCGGGAGCCAGCCACTTGATGCGCCCCTGGCAACGGGGAGACAGCATTAGCCGGTGCTGCATCATGCTGTTCTCAAAGACGGAGCCGTAGATATCACCACCCGTGATTAGGCTGCCTTCCTTCAGTTGGCCCGGCGTAAAGGCATATTCGATGTTCCTGGGTAGGCTAGGCACATCGATGCCCTTGGGCACGTAGATGGAGTTGGTCAGCTCGTTGATCGTCCGCAGAGGTCGCTGGATTCCGTCAAAGATACTGCCCATGATGCCGGGACCCAGTTCCACGGACAGCGGCTTGCCCGTCTGGAAAACCGGATCGCCTACACTCACGCCCGAGGTGTCCTCGTACACCTGAATGGTGGCCATGTCACCTTCCAGTCGGATGATCTCGCCCACCAGCTGGCAGTGGCCTACACGCACAAGCTCGTACATGGCGGCTCCGGACATCTGCTCAGCATTCACCACCGGACCGGAGACGCCAAATATTCGTCCCAGGGTTGGATCCTCCTCTTCGATGTCATGCTGCGAGTAGTGATGCGTATTCACAACCTCTTCCTCATCATGCGAGTCTTCCACAAACAGCTCCGGAGATTTCTGTTCCGAGATTTCAGAAGGTGTTTTGGGACTGGGTTGACAGTGGCGACAGGTGCATTTCGGCTTTGCTCCAGGTTCCAGACGTTTTTCCAGAGCTTCTTTCTGCTGAGGAACCCAGCCAGTTGAGGCGATCTTTGGGCTCTCCACCTGCTTGGTCTTAGGTTCCACCAGACTTTTTTCTAGAGATTCTTTTCGCGGAGAACCAGAGCTAGATGAACCGCGCGTCCCTGACTTTTCCATCTGGTTGGTCTTAGGATCCACCGGACGTTTTTCTAGAGATACTTTTCGCGGAGAATCACAGCTACATGATCCGCTTGTCCATGACCTTTCCATCTGGTTGGTCTTAGTTTCCCCTTGACGATTTTCCAGAGAAACTTTTCGCGGAGAACCACAGTTACATGATTCGCGTGTCCTTGACTTTTCCACTTGATTGGTTTTAGGTTTCACTAGAGATTCTTCCAGAGATTCTTTTCGCGGAGGATCCGTGCCACGGGAATTGGCGGTCTTTACCTTGGTCTCCGGTTCTACGAGAGTTTTTTCCAGAGAGTTTATTCCCGGAGGATCCGTGCCACGGGAATCGGCTGTCTTTTCCTTAGTCCCCGGTTCTACCAAAGTTTTTTCCAGAGAGCTCATCCGCGGAGGATCCGTGCCACGTGAATCGGCCGTTCTTGGCATGGTCTCAGACTCTGCCAGAGATGCTCTCAGAGAGCTCATCCGCGGAGGATCCGTGCCACGTGAACCGCTGCTCATTTTCTTGGTATCAGGCTCCATTAGAGATTCATCAACAGAACTCGTCTGCGAAGAATCCGTGATAGTTGAAGTGGTGGGCGAGGTGAGAGGTGCTATCCAAGGCTTCTGGGCGTTGTTCATGATGGCTTTGTTTAGGAAAATATAATTATAACCTCGATTTGGATAAATTTGGTCAATAACTATGTTGAATATGTGTTATAAATAAACTAAGTTGGCAGAAGGGGGAATGAGCGAGAGGATTGTTTTTTCAAATTTAAATCTGAATAGTAATAATAAAGTCTGCCTTTAAGATGAACCAAGGGAAAATCACTTCTTGTTACATTAAATGTATTTGTTGTTGCACTTTATTATTCGTACATTTAATATTTTCATACTTTAAATATTTACATAAATTTAACAAACAAACAGGGAGAAAACATGACTTTTTCACAAATAAACAAGAATTTCCATTCATTAAACAATAATACTATTTATGCATGCATTTGTATTTGTGTCTTTTTTTATGTATGTGTGCGTGTGTGTGTATGTGTCCAAGTACTGGTATGTCTTTTGTTGTTGTTGTAAATGGAAGTACGTAAAAGGACGTTCATAAGTTGTGGCTCTGGTTGTTGCTGCTGTTGTTGTGGTTGCCCCGGGGGGAGCTGAGCCCTTGCTGTAGGGGCGGAGAAGACTGATGGAGGCGTGGCTAAGGGAAGTATCAACCGCAGGCCGGAATGTTTACATCTCTTGCTGGCTCCAAGGAGCTGTGGACTTTGTGTGTGTTTTGGACTTTGTTTTTTTCTTCATCGAATGCAGCAGCGCCTTGATGTTGTTTCTTCGCAATTTCTGATTAGGAGGCTTTTTTCGGGATTGGTTTTTCGACTGCTTTCATTTTTTAAAAGTTAACTATATAACAAATATAAGATTAGAGTGTAAAAGTAGGGCCACCAACACGGTCGGTCGCTCTAGTCCTCCAGATTCCTGAAGGCCTGCTGCAGATCTTCGTGCAGCTGCTCGAAATCGGCCTTGATCTTGGCCTCGCCATCCTTAACAGGGTCCTGCAAGGGATGAGAAAAGCAAGGGTTAGTGGTTTTCAGCCAAAAAACATTAGCCTACGAGTGATTACCTTGAACTTCATGGACGACAGCTGGTACATAATGTTGCCCATAGCCTCACGGATCACGTTCCAGGTAATCTTGTTCTCGGACTGAGCCGTCGACTCCACGGAGTGGCGGGCCAGGTCGTAGAAGTCGATGATGTTCTTCAGCATGCCGACGGTCTTGTAGAAGGGGCAGAAGCGATCGTACGACGAGTAGGAGTTCTGCTGCAGGAAATCGTCCTTCAGCAGCTTGGCCACCTCAAGTGTGATCTTGTCGGTCTCGGCCAGAGAGGCCTTGCCGACGAGCTGCACGATCTCAGACAGATCCTCCTCCTCCTGCAGGATCTCCTTGACCTTGGTACGCAGGGGCACAAACTCGGGGAAGTTCTTGTCATAGAAGTCGTCCAGGGCGCGCATGTACTTCGAGTACGAAATCAGCCAGTTGATCGAGGGGAAATGCTTGCGCTGGGCCAGCTTCTTGTCCAGACCCCAGAACACCTGCACGATACCCAGGGTGGCGGATGTCACGGGATCGGAGAAGTCACCACCAGGAGGCGACACAGCACCGACAATGGACACGGATCCCTCGCGTTCGGGGTTACCCAAGCACTTGACGCGACCGGCACGCTCGTAGAAGGAGGCCAGACGGGCGCCCAGGTAGGCTGGGTAGCCGGAATCGGCAGGCATCTCAGCCAGACGACCCGAAATCTCACGCAGAGCCTCGGCCCATCGAGAGGTGGAGTCAGCCATCATGGACACGTTGTAACCCATGTCACGGAAGTACTCAGACAGAGTGATACCGGTGTAGATGGAGGCCTCACGGGCAGCCACAGGCATGTTGGAGGTGTTGGCCACCAGGGCGGTACGCTTCATGATGGACTCGGTGACGCCGTCAATCTCCACGGACAGCTCTGGGAAATCACGCAGTACCTCAGACATCTCGTTACCACGCTCGCCGCAACCGACGTAGATGATCACATCGGAGTTGGAGTACTTGGAGAGGGCCTGCGAGATCACAGTCTTGCCGCAACCGAAGGCTCCGGGAATGGCGGTGGTACCGCCCTGGACGCAGGGGAAGAGGGAGTCGAGGACACGCTGTCCAGTAAGCAGAGGGTGGTTGGCGGGCAGCTTCTCGGTCACTGGACGGGGCTGACGCACGGGCCACACCTGCAACATAGTGTGCTTGGTGATCTCGCCATCGAACTCCGTCTCCAGGACGACATCATCGACCTTGTAGTTGCCCGAGGGGGCAATGTAGCGCACAGTACCCTTGGCGCGGGGATTGACAATCATCTTGTGCTTGACCAGGGTGTTCTCGTGCACCAGACCGTACAGGTCTCCGCCAGTGATGTGGGAGCCAACCTTGACGTTCAAGGGATTGAACTCCCAGCTGGCCACACGCGACAAACTGGGCACGTTCACGCCCTTGGGGATGTAGATGGAGTTGGTCAGCTCGTTAATGTCCTTCAGGGGACGCTGGATACCGTCAAAGATGCTGCCCATGATACCGGGTCCGAGCTCCACGGAGAGGGGCTTGCCGGTACGCAGGACGGGATCGCCCACGGTTACGCCGGAGGTTTCCTCGTACACCTGGATGGTGGCCATGTCACCCTCCAGACGGATGATCTCGCCCACCAGCTCGTAGTAGCCGACGCGGACCAACTCGTACATAGCCGATCCCGACATGCACTCGGCGGTGACGACTGGAATGAAGGTAATGGATTTAACGAATTAGATGGGCTTATAAATATATAAAATTTTATATAAGAGCCTTGATAAATAGGGAAAGTTATTTTATTTAAGATTTATTGTATATCAATGTTTCTCCAAGAAATGTAGATAATAAATCATAGATCCCTCTTAAGCATTCATATATGTATCTTCGGAGCTCGTTAAACGAATTATGTATTATGATATAAAATAATTTAAAATTAACGGTTTTAAATAAGAAAAAGTCTCAAGAAGACGTTGCTATCCGTAAAACCTTCAGTTTAAAGTAAAGAAAAACCTATTATGACAACTCTTAATTGGTTGACTTAATTTTTAACTATTTATAAAGACATTATTCTTAATATATTTTATAAATAAATAATTATAACTACTTACCAGGACCAGAGACAGCGAAGACACGTCCATATTTGGACTCACGCTCCTCATCATCGAAACGCTTGAGGTTGGACATTTTGCTTTATTCTGGTTCTACGACTGCAAAGAACAAATCAAAGCAAATAGAACAAATTATAAAATGAAAATCCAGCGAAGAAGAGGAGATAGATAAAGTTGAAAATTTTCTTATCACTAATTGGTGGTTGGCCCTTTTGTCAGCTGACAAGCAACAGGTGTAAGCGAGTTGTGCGCCCGCTCTCTCGCTGGTTTTCTCATATAATTATTGGAGAATTACCAACCTGGTTTAAGGTTAAAAAATCGTGTTCGATCTACTGCTGTTTGACTACTAATTTTAAGTGATTTCTCGATTTTTTAACTCCCCCCCGTTCTTCGATTATGCTGCGTAAAACTTTAAAAACAGAGCTTTCGTTTCACGTGACAGAGCTTTGCGCAAGTTCGAAAAATAATTCTCTCCACTAAATCGCTAAATAAATAAAAAAAAAAACTAAATAATAAATCAGAACAAATTAGAAATATGAAATGTAACTGAAAAACTCGTTTACTTGGAAGAACGAAAATATGCGGGTTTTATTTTATCAGAAAAATAAGAAATAACAAGAGAGAGAGTGGGGGAAGTTACGCTCATTCTTGCTCTCCCTCTCTCCATTCGAGTTCGAATATTTGACAATTGCTTTTTGACGTTGATCACAAGACTACTGTCATTGCCGTCAGCTGACAAATGAAAAAAATGGTTAAGAAAAAAAATAAAGAAATCTTAGGGTTGCCTTTTCATGGCTTGAGAACCACCATATTGGATTTATCGGTTATTTATTTAAGAACCCAAGAAGCGTACAACTTAAGTTCGAATTTCGAAACGAGCGGCGGCAGCGATCACAAGACCCACGGTGCGAGCGAGACAGGGCGAACACGGGGAGCGGGGTCAGCTGACAAGGCAAAATATTTTCCACGCGCAAAATTTTCACGTTCGCAGACCGCACTTTTCGAGTTGCATTAAATGCTGGTAGTTTTCAGATTTTTCTCAAATTTATTCTTCACTTGTGGGCGTGTCTTAGGCTGCATTTATTATCTAACACGAATGCAGGCGCTATGCGTGTTTTCGCTCCCCGCTTTGATCGCTGCTTCGTCACTTTTTTCGAGGCGAATTCAAGGTGGAATTTCAAATAAGATCGCCGCTTTGATTTTCAGCGAAATTAACCGTTTTTACTGTTATTTGTTTAGTGTTTTTTAATTGTGGGTGTGAGTTGGCGATGAGGGGGTGGGGACGGGCGCTTACTTTGCTGTGTCTTCGCGTTCACCTTGCGAACGTGTGTGCTGCTGCTTTTCTCCAAACCGAAAACCGACTGAGCCGCAGAAATAAAACGTCGACGCTCGCACTCCGAAAGCTCCCTGTCTTCGATTTCGATTTCGCCTCCGATCCAATCCGATCGCGAGCTTTCGGAGGCGAGCTTCCAAGCTCCAGTTGAGAGAGTTGTGAGCCGATATCGATTGCGAGCGGAGCTTTCCGGTAATCGAAAAGGGTGGGAGGGAGATAGGGAGAGTGAGTGATAGGGAGGGAGCGATAACGAGAGCCAAAGTGGGGTCACACTGGCTGGAATAACTTCGAGGGGAGGTCGTTAAGTTTAAAGTTTCGAAGGACCATGTTTAGTTTAGCTATATTATTAATATTTTTATTATATGAACGTTAAGTTCAAGTTCCTTTCCTGGTTTGAACATATACATAAATACATATATATAATATACATAATATATGTACATAATTTAACAATATAATTTCCAATTTATTTGTCCACTGCGATAATATTATTCGTCCAATTAAAATTAACAGCAACATAAATTTAATTTCCTACCAGCTTCATTTCAACACATGTACATAAATACATGTATGCAAGTGTTAAATGCGCCGAATAAAAAGTGCAATTAATTAATTACACAAGCTATTAGTTTGCTATTTAAAGTTACTGAAATGCAATTTTAAATGAATCAATTCGTGTAAATTGTTGGCTCGGGGGATGCCCCAAAAG